ACCAGGTGCCGTGGCACAGGCCTATAATCCCAGGGGCTGGGGAGGCTGAGGCAGGAGGACCACCAGTTCAAAGCCAGCCTCAGCAAAAGTGAGTTGCTAAGCAACTCAGAGAGACCCTGTCTCTAAATAAAATACCAAATAGGTCTGGGGCCGGGGCTCAGTGGTAGAGTGCCCCTGAGTTCAGTCCCCAGTACTCCCCCCACCAAAAAAAAAAAAAAAAAAAAAAAAGAAAGAAAGAAACCAGATCTTTCCGGGATCTTTTCTCTATTCTCCACTTCTTTAGATTCAAATGCTGAGGAATTAGTGAGAAGAGGTTCTACCATCAAATGGAAGCCTTCTGTGTGTCACACTCTGCCTCCAATCTTACAGCCCATTTAAAATGGCTTTCATTTCCCCTTTCCCAAAGGGAGACTGAGGGTTCAGAGAAGGCAATATTTCACACAGCTCAGAGTGGTGAAGAGAAGACTGGAATCTGGGCAGGTGTGGAGCCTGTGTGTCCAGTGGGTGACCAGTGTTGGGTGCTGCGTTTCCTGGAGTGTGTAGGGGGTCACTAGCGACCCTCCCCCAATCTGGCCGGTCCCACCATCCCTACCTCCCAGCCTGTATAGGGAGCCTGGGGCAGCTTACTGAGGCCATTCCACACAGTTCCCCACATGTCACCAGCCCTGGGGCTCCATCCTGTGTCCACCCCCCCACCTTCCCTGCCCCAGGAGTTCCCTCCAGCCGCTGCCAGCACACTCCTGGAGGGCGGGGTACTCGGAACCAGAGGAGGGAGCAGGCCCGCGGGGGACCCTGAGGCTCCCGGCCCTGCGCCGGCGGGACTCTGCACTCCTTGGGCGCTAGGGGGCAGTGTGTCCGTTCCCAAGAAACTGCGCGGCCCTGGCAGGGAGGCACAGGAGGGGCGCCCACGCCGTGCACAGACACGCCAGCGCTTCCCCGGCCCCGGCTGGGCACGGGCACAGGCACAGGCACAGGCACACGGCTCACACCTGCAGAGAGGGACAAGGACACAAGCGAGCAGGGGTGCAGGCAGATCCCAGAGAGGGGCGCCCCCGGGCTGGGGCGCAAGACAGAGCTGACACGCAGCCCCGGGCGCGGCCCCGCCGCCACGGACAGACACACAGAAGGCCTGGGAGTGTCACCCGGGGAAGACGCAGTGCAGGACGCGGCCACACGCCCCGCACAACATGCCCAGTGTTCAAGAAAGGCGACTCAGACACACACCCGGACAGAAACACTCCGGCCCAACACACCCTCCTTTCACACACACACACACCTCGAAGAGCCAAGTCTTGGAAACGGCCCCAGAAAAATACTCCCACACCCCCCTCCCTGGGGCGCACAGGAAACCTGCCCAGGTGTGCAGGGGACCCCCGCCCGCCCGCCCGGCCTGAAGTCATGGCTCTCCCCGGCTGCAGGCCAGCCCTCCCCACCCCCACCACTCCAGGCCCGGGCGGGTCCCCACTCTCCCGTCGCACACGGCTGCCTCCTGGTACACTCACAGTCCAGAGCCACGTGGTGACCTGGTGTCATAGACTCTGCACAGGCCTTTGCCCGGGAGGGGTCCTCCTCACGACAGCCATTCATCCCCCCATTGGGCCCCCTTCCTGCCCAGGAGGTCCCCCGTCTCCCCTGCTGTGGCCCAGGAGCCCTGGGAGGGGGTCACCAGAGGCCTTCTCAGGTCCTTGATTTCTTTGTGCCTAGATCAGCCAAGCCCCAGTCTTTGCTCCGGCCCTCCCTTTCCTGTCACTTTGCTAAGTAATAATTTCCATGTCCAATTCCATTTCTTCTCTAGTTCTGAAACCTCTAAGCTATCAGCAAGAGGATAGTTCACATGAAAACTAATTACACAAAATCAATATTTAATCACAGACCAACAACCTGATCCTGCAGAAAAATCCTTTTAAAACTCCACCACCCTGTACAAATACTTCTTCCTGGTGCTTATTTATGGGCCCCATTTTTGGTGGGGGTGATTTTCATTTTTAATTTCAAAAAAAAAAAAATATATAGATATCTGTGGACTCCAGGAAGGACCTTGGACCTGAGCTTGCTTCATCTTTGAGTTTTAAAGTTGTTGGGTTTTAGTATTTGTTCTTTTTTTTTTTTTTTGAGGGGGGGTCTTGGGAAGTCCCTGGAGAGTCTGCCCGCTGCCGCTCCCTCCTCTCACCTCCTAAGTTGAGCCCTTTTTCCCAGCGTCACCTTGCTGGCTGCAGCTCCGGGGGGGAGCCGTGAATCGGTGCGCGCACGACATGGTAACTTTTTAACTCGCGCCGGCGACTGTGGAGTGCTTAATCCGAGGTTTTTAAATAAAAAGGGCTCAGGGGTTGGTTTTATTATAACGTTTATTTCATTTCAGATTTCATGCGCAATTTAGCAAACGCTAGACAGACTTGGGCGATAAACACTTTCTTTTGTGGGGGGGAAGGAGGCACTTTATACACCATGCTTAATTTTATTTAGATTTAATAGCGATATCAGGACCCTCCAAAGAAAGTTCTGTTTTTTTCCTCCCTTTCTCCTAAGAGTGTAGGTCTGTTAGCCAGATCGCCTGGTGCAATTTTATGGCAAAGAAAATGAAAGGCCTCTCCCTTCTCCTGTCTCCTACTTACTCTTCAGAGCGGAAAACACACGCGCGCACGCACACATACAGGCTCGCGTGGGCACGGACACATGCACCCAGAATAAACACTCTCCTCCATCACCTCCAACTTTCAACTTCTAATTGCAAGATAGATTTCAGCCTCGGTGGGGATCAGGAAGATCTAAACATTTTAACTAAGATTATTGGGATAAATATTTCATAAAGAGCAGGGCAGATATTAAATTACTCCTATTGATTTTAGTATCACAACCCAATTCCGTTCTTTGGCCTCTTCAGTTTAATTGATCTCTTAAGGAGGCCAACTTCGCGCCGGGAGAGGGCCTGGGCCTTGGCCCCGGTGGCTGGAGCAAGGTGCTGCGGCCGACCCGTGCGCCCTTTACGCGCGGGTCTTCTCGAGGCTCCCAGCCGCTACCGCTACGGCTACGCCCGGCCGCTCCCGCGCTGGGTTCCTCCGATGTCCACCCCCCCCCCCCCCCCCCCCCGCATCCCCGCATGAAGTGGCAGAGTGATCGTGGCTCCTCCAACCGAAGCCAGAAGCTGAGAACCGGAAACCCCAGACAGTGGCAATAAGGGACAATTGTGCGTGCCCTAGTAAGCAGGAAAGAGCAAGAGCCGGGGTCTCTCCAGGAGAACCCTAACTTCGGGGTTCCGGGTCTGCTTTAACCTCCAGCAAAATCCCCAGCCGGGCCAGCTCGGGCGCCGCCAGTGGAGAGCAGAGGGAGGGTTCATTCCAGGGCTGAGGAGCAGCAGACACTTAGAGACTTTCCGTGGCGCGTCCAGGGGCTTTGCCAGGCGACCCCATTGTCTGAGCGCCCCGCACCGCTCGCCGCCCACCTCCCCGCCCCCTGCCCACCCGGCAGGTCTCGCTCCAGTTGGGGGTGGGGAGTTGAGAACAGTGTGAATGGGAAGGGGGGTGAACAAAGCCAAGCTCCCGCCATTCTCCTCCGCCCGCGCCCTCTCCAGCCCCCCGCGCCCGGAGGCCAGGACGCGCCCCCAGTGCACTGGCGCCGGACCCCGAGGCGAGGCGGGAGCAGGGGACCCCAGCGCCGGGGTAGTGCGGGTCCGTGGCGGGGGCCTCAGCAGCCAGGACCCGGGACCACCTTAAGAGCGAGCCCCGCCCCGGGCCCGGAGCTTGGGCGGCGCTGATTGGTGCAGATGTAATGGCTGAAATTGATTGCTGAAATGCAAAACTTGTTGCTGCTTCTCCCGGCGCTGGGCGAGAGGCAGACAGAGAGGGGAGCCGAGACCCTCCGAACGCCCCACGCAGAGCCCCCCCGCCAGCCTGGAGCGGGGTGCGCGGACCCCCCAGAGCTGCTCCCGCCCCCCTCCCCGTTCCCGGCTCGGAGAGCGCAGCCGGAACGCCTCGGCTCGCCGGCCCCGCGCGGCCCCCAACCCGCGTACGCCCCCCTTCCCCGGGTCCGAGGGGGACTCGCGGAGCACCTCGGCGCGGCGGCAGGGAACCGGAGCTTCGGAGCCACCCAACCCTTGGCCTCTGTACTCGCCCGAGCTTGCAGCGGGACGCGGAGACTCCCGCGAACTCAGACACCGAACGGCGGAGGGCAGAAGCAGCGGGCGGCGGACGTGGCCAAGCGGCGGCGCGCTGGGGCGCAGCGCACCCGCCGCCGGGCAAGGGAGCCGCGCCTTTCCCCCGACCCTCCGCTCCAATCCCGGCGCCCGCCGCCTCCCCAGCCCCGCCGCTTCCTCGGCTCGGGGGCCGGTACCGACGATGCCGAGCGGAGCCTCTAGACCTCCGACCCGCTGAAGAAGCAGCAGCCGTTCGCCCGGGGCCGGCGGGGACTGTGCGAGCGGATCGTGCTCGGCCGAGGCTCGGGCTGCCGGGCGCAGGGACTCCGGGGGGAGGGGGGAGGGCCTCTCTGTCGGTGCCCCCACGCCAGCCGCGGCTTTTAAGGGTCTCCCTCCCGGCCCTTAGCAGCTCCACGCGGACTCCGGGAGGCTGCGGGCTGCGTCCTGGGGCTCCCCCACCGACCCGATCGGACTTAAGAAGGTGATTGCTCGGCTTTCCCAACCCCCTTCCCGCCCCGTCTCCCCCACTTAACTTTTTGTCTACGTTCGCCCGCGGCCCGGTCCCCTCCCCGCAAACCCACCCGCGGCTGTGCCAACCGCCTGGGGCATGGGCCCCCCAACGCGGCTCCTGGAGGCCCCGCGGCCTCGCAAGATGTGAGAGGCCCGCCCCGGGCAGATCCAGAGCTTCGGGAGAGGAGCTGAGAGCCCCCAGCCTCCCCACGCCTGGCGGGGTGGCGGTGCGCGCTGCTCCCCCGCGGTGCCGAGCGTCCCGGAGCGCCCAATCCTGGGCTGGAACGAGTAGCTGGCCGGAGGCGCGCCGCGGAGAGCAAGCTGTCATGCCCTATTGATCCCCCCTTGCCCCCCGCCAAGTATGTTTGGGCTGGACCAATTCGAGCCCCAGATCAACAGCAGGAACGCTGGCCAGGGCGAGAGGAACTTTAACGAGACCGGACTGAGCATGAATGCCCACTTTAAAGCTCCTGCTTTTCACACGGGGGGGCCCCCTGGCCCCGTGGACCCTGCCATGAGCGCGCTGGGCGAGCCCCCGATCTTGGGCATGAACATGGAGCCATACGGTTTCCACGCGCGGGGCCACTCGGAGTTGCACGCAGGGGGGCTGCAGGCGCAGCCCGTGCACGGCTTCTTCGGCGGTCAGCAGCCTCACCATGGTCACCCGGGAGGCCACCACCCCCACCAGCATCACCCCCACTTCGGGGGCAACTTCGGCGGCCCGGACCCGGGGGCCTCGTGCCTGCACGGGGGTCGCCTGCTTGGCTACGGAGGCGCGGCCGGCGGCCTGGGCAGCCAGCCGCCCTTCGCTGAGGGCTATGAGCACATGGCGGAGAGCCAGGGGCCGGAGAGCTTCGGCCCGCAGCGACCTGGAAACCTCCCGGACTTCCACAGTTCAGGTGCCTCGGGCCACGCCGTGCCTGCCCCATGCCTGCCGCTGGACCAGAGCCCTAACCGGGCCGCATCTTTCCACGGCCTGCCCGCCTCCAGCGGCTCCGATTCCCACAGTCTGGAGCCCCGGAGGGTGACGAACCAAGGAACCGTCGACTCCCTGGAATACAATTACGCGGGCGAGGCGCCCTCGGGACATTTTGACATGTTTTCGCCCTCCGACTCCGAGGGGCAGCTGCCTCATTATGCAGCGGGTCGTCAGGTTCCCGGGGGCGCTTTCCCGGCTGCCTCAGCGATGCCCAGAGCCGCGGGCATGGTGGGCTTGTCCAAAATGCACGCCCAGCCACCGCAGCCGCCACCGCAGCCGCCACCGCAGCAGCAACAGCAGCATGGCGTGTTCTTCGAGAGGTTTGGCGGGGCCCGGAAGATGCCTGTGGGTCTGGAGCCCGGGGTAGGCTCTAGGCACCCGTTAATGCAGCCTCCCCAGCAGGCCCCGCCACCCCCCCAGCAGCAGCCCCCGCAGCAACCGCAACAGCAGCAGCAGCCTCCGCCACCCGGGCTTCTGGTCCGACAAAATTCCTGCCCGCCTGCTCTCCCGCGGCCCCAGCAGGGCGAGGCTGGCACGCCCAGCGGAGGCCTGCAGGACGGGGGTCCCATGCTGCCCAGCCAGCACGCGCAGTTCGAGTATCCCATCCACCGGCTGGAGAACCGGAGCATGCACCCTTATTCCGAGCCTGTTTTCAACATGCAGCATCCCCCTCCGCAGCAGGCGCCCAACCAGCGGCTGCAGCATTTCGACGCGCCCCACTACATGAACATGGCCAAGAGGCCGCGCTTCGACTTCCCAGGCAGCGCAGGAGTGGACCGCTGTGCTTCGTGGAATGGTAGCATGCACAACGGCGCTCTGGAAAACCACCTCTCGCCCTCCGCCTACCCGGGCCTCCCCGGCGAGTTCACCCCTCCTGTGCCCGACAGCTTCCCCTCCGGGCCTCCCTTGCAGCACCCAGCCCCCCCGGACCACCAGTCCCTGCAGCAGCAGCAGCAGCAGCAGCAACAGCAACAGCAGCAACAGCAGCAGCAGCAGCAGCAGCAGCAGCAACAGCAACAGCAACAGCAGCAGCAGCAACAGCGCCAAAATGCGGCCCTCATGATTAAACAGATGGCTTCGCGGAATCAGCAGCAGCGGCTGCGCCAACCCAGCCTGGCCCAGCTAGGCCACCCAGGGGACGTGGGCCAGGGTGGCCTAGTCCACGGCGGTCCGGTGGGTGGCTTGGCTCAGCCGAACTTTGAGCGCGAAGGCGGCAGCGCGGGTACGGGGCGCCTGGGCACCTTTGAGCAGCAGGCGCCGCACTTGGCACAGGAGAGCGCGTGGTTCCCAGGCCCACACCCGCCGCCAGGAGACCTGCTGCCCCGCAGGATGGGTGGTTCCGGCCTGCCCACTGACTGTGGTCCGCATGACCCCAGCCTGGCGCCTCCCCCTCCGCCCGGGGGCTCTGGCGTGTTGTTCCGGGGCCCTCTGCAGGAGCCGCTGAGGATGCCCGGGGAGGGCCACGTGCCGGCGCTGTCCTCGCCGGGCCTCCAGTTCGGGGGCAGCCTGGCTGGCCTGGGCCAGTTGCAGTCGCCTGGGGCCGGGGTGGGGCTGCCCAGCGCTCCCTCGGATCGCCGGCCCCCGCCGCCGGACTTCGCTGCGCCAGCCCTTGGGGGCCAGCCGGGCTTTCCGTTTGGCCCAGGGAGCCGGCAGGCCACTCCGCACAGCGGTCCGGGCGTGAACTCACCCCCAAACGCAGGCGGGGGCGGCGGCAGCTCTGGCGGCGGCGGCGGGGGCGCTTACCCGCAGCAGCCGGATTTCCAGCCCAGCCAGCGCACCTCGGCCAGCAAGCTGGGCGCGCTCTCTTTGGGCTCCTTCAATAAACCCAGCTCCAAGGACAACCTGTTTGGCCAAAGCTGCCTGGCTGCGCTCTCCACGGCTTGCCAGAACATGATCGCCAGCCTCGGGGCCCCCAACCTCAACGTGACCTTCAACAAGAAGAACCCACCCGAGGGCAAGAGGAAACTGAGCCAGAACGAGGCCGACGGCACGGCTGTGGCCGGCAACCCGGGCTCGGATTACTTCCCGGGGGGGACTGCTCCTGGGGCCCCAGGACCCGGAGGCCCATCGGGGACCAGTAGCAGCGGCTCCAAAGCCTCGGGGCCGCCAAACCCGCCCAGCCAGGGGGACGGCACCAGCCTCTCTCCCAACTACACCCTAGAATCAACCTCGGGGAACGACGGCAAGCCGGTCCCCGGGGGAGGTGGCCGGGGACGGGGTCGCAGAAAAAGGGACAGTGGTCACGTGAGTCCTGGGACCTTCTTCGACAAGTACTCAGCGGCTCCGGACAGCGGGGGCGCGCCTGGGGTGAGCCCAGGACAGCAGCAGGCTCCAGGCGCGGCCGTCGGGGGAAGCTCTGTGAGCGACACGCGCGGGGCGCCCACGCCCCACGAGAAGGCACTTACGTCGCCGTCGTGGGGGAAGGGGGCGGAGTTGCTTCTGGGGGACCAGCAGGACCTCATGGCGTCCCTGGACGGTGGGGCCAAATCGGACGGTAGTTCACCGCACGTGGGTGAGTTCGCCTCGGACGAGGTGAGCACGAGCTATGCCAACGAGGACGAAGTGTCGTCCAGTTCCGACAACCCCCCGGCCCTGGCCAAAGCCAGCAGGAGTCCCCTGGTGACCGGCTCGCCCAAACTCCCTCCTCGAGGGGTGGGCGCTGGGGAACACGGACCCAAGGCGCCCCCGCCCCCACTCGGCCTGGGTATCATGTCTACCTCTTCCTCGACCCCCGACAGCTACGGCGGGGGCACTGGCCATCCGGGCACGCCGGGCCTGGAGCAGGTCCGGACCCCCACGAGCAGCAGCGGTGCGCCCCCACCCGACGAGATCCACCCCCTGGAGATCCTCCAGGCGCAGATCCAGCTACAGAGGCAGCAGTTCAGCATCTCCGAGGACCAGCCCCTGGGGCTTAAGGGTGGCAAGAAGGGCGAGTGTGCCGTCGGGGCCTCAGGTGGGCAGAATGGAGACAGCGAGCTGGGCAGCTGCTGCTCCGAGGCCGTCAAGAGCGCCATGAGCACCATCGACCTGGACTCACTGATGGCAGAGCACAGCGCCACCTGGTACATGCCAGCTGAAAAGACCCTGGTGGACGGCGCGGACGAGGATAAGACGCTGGCGCCCTGGGAGAAGGCCAAACCCCAGAACCCCAACAGCAAAGAAGGTATATGCGGACGCGCTCCCTCTCCTTTCTGGGTGACCCGCCCCATCCGCTGGGCAGGCCTTAGCCCCCGCCCCTCGGGTCCCTCAGGGCTTGGAGGGCGCAGGGCCCAACTCAGAGCTGGGCACCCCTCCTTTGGTTATATCAAGAGCCGTGGGGACGCCCACCACCAGGTGCTGCCAGGTAGATTCTGTCTCCGCAAGATGGTAAGAACTTAGATGTCACCCTCTGGGGAAATCTTTGTAGAGTCACATGCACTAACCCTCTGCCCCCAGCCCCCCACTTCTAGTTGGGCCATCGTGCAGTGCTCAGAGAAGCAGGCCACTTCTTTTTCACACCAAGACCCCCCATTCACCCTCCACGTTCAGGCTGGTGTCCCTTCTTAGGAGTTGTGTGTGTCCCCTTTCCTGGCAGGACACCTGGAAAGTTCTGTTTGGGCCTCCCCACCTTTTCCTAGTTAGCCAGCCTCGGCTCTCAGGTGACGGCATCTTCACAGAAAAAGTTGCCAACCTTGGTGTCGGGCAGCGTCACGCAGAGACAAGGCCTCGCTGGACATCAGCTCCTAAATGAATAGCTGTTTTGTCCTCTTCTTAAGTATCAGAGTTTCACTAGAAAACAGCCCAAACCTGGAGACCTGGCCGGCTGCAGGAGGCAGGCCACCTCCCCAGGAGACCTCTCCTTGACATCTGACAGCAGTGTCCTGGGGCTGGGGTGAGGGTCTGCTTGGCAGAGACCAGACCCTTCCATTAGGAAATCATTTGTGGATGGGGATATGTATATATATTCCTAAGACACAAAGGACCCGCGTTTGTCAATATCTCGCTTGGCTTTGGTGACAGATGTCCGGTCCCACTTCTCCTTAGCATTCTAAGCACCCCTCTCACCAGGCCTGGAGGCCTTAAGGTGGGAGGGGCGGGGGCTGGCCCTTGGAGCCCTGTTCCCGCTAAAGTAGTAGCAGTTCTTTCAGCCTAAAGATGCCCGGGCCATAATAGGTCTCCATTTTATTTTAATGAGGCTTTATTAGAAAAATAGAGCTAGTAGTTTCTTAAAATTAGGTAACACCAGCCTCCTCCTCCTCCTCCTCCTCCTCCTCCTCCTTCTTTTTATTTTTTTACCTTTTTTCTTTGAAGCCCTGGTTGAATTCCTTGGGTTTCACAGGGTAGAGTATTTCCATGGTGTCAGGAGCTGGTGACTCAGTGCTGTCCTTTAAAACAAGGTGCCCTGATCCTTGGTCTGGCTGGGAGTTTTTTTCCCTTCTCCTTCCTTAGCCCATGTCCCCATGTCCGGCCATCTCTTGCCCCTGGGTTTTGGGTGAGGGTCAGTTTGGAAAGGGGGGCGGGGACAGGAGTGGGTCCCAGAGCGTGGTGGTCAGAACTGGGGATTTGGAGGCGCCCATGGCGGAGGACGACGTCCCCCCTAGGTCTTCCCGTTCCTGAATGAGGAGGCCCTGGCTTGCTTTTCTCTTTGTTCCCATCCCTGCCCAGCCTGGGACGCAGGGACGCGCGCTCTCATTTGAAGCCTGGTGTTTAGCATGCAGGGCAGACGCTGCGGCCGCCGGGCATGGGCATTCCGCAGGCTGCTCCCAGGCAGGGCCCTAAATTGGTTAGCTGGGGACCCTGGGCCCTTTTTTTTTCCCCCTTTCCCCCCTTTTAAAATGGAGTTGGACACGGCATCCTGCTGGCCGCACCCCCTCCCCCTTTTCTCTTTTATTTTCTTGTACACAACATCTCGATCTGGCCCGATCGATAGCTGGTTAGCACAAATCTCAGCCCTGTCACTTCTACCTGGCCTGGCCTGGCCGCCCCTCCCCCTTGCTGTTCCCCCACCCTTCAGTAATTAGGAACACATTGGTCAAAATGGGTGAGAAAAGTTAAAAAAAACACACACACCACAGTCACCCAATTTAGAGAATTAGTAAAGAAAACCAGTGGCACTTCCCATCTCTAGTAAAGGGCCCTACTAGGTGGAGAAGTCTGTGGTGGCTTCAATGAGATTTTTTTATTTTTAGCGGCTCTCCCCGCCCATCCGCTGCCATCCCTTCCTTCACTGGGAAGGGGCTGAGAGGCAGCCTGGGAAGGAAGAAATGTCACTAGAGAATGTTTTGTTTTGTTTGCTTCATTATCATAGATGAGAAAAAATATTTGGGGGGAACATACTCTGGTCCCCTTCGGCTGGAGGGTCCCCTCTGGGCGGCCCGAGGCCCTCCCCTGTGTTTGAGAAGACAGGGGGCTTCCTCAGGGACCCGCGGGGCTGGCCGCCTTCTAGGCCTGGCGGGGACACCCACTTGACCTCCTTTGTTTTCTCTGCAACGTGGGAAGGTTTTCCTGGAGAAGGCAGGGGGCTGAGGCTCTTGGCGCTCCTGTGGCCTTGGGGCTGCTAGTTGAGGCGTTATAAGGTACCTGCCTCCCCGGCTGCTCCTTCCTGCTAGTAAATAAGGATGATTAAACTTTTCATTATGATAACACCCTCCAGTCCCATCTGCACACGGCGTATAAATAGGTGCGTTGAGCTTTCCACAGGCCCGAGTCCCTAGACTGAAAATCAAGAGTGAAGTGTGCCACTTTGAAATAGAGTCAGGGAAAAAAAAATTAAAGCAAAAAACCATTCTGCTTTTCCTTAATCAATGTGCCCCGGGTCCCCTTAGCCAGTGTCTCTGCGTCTACCTTGTCCGGGTTCCAGGCCAGCAAGCCCTCTGCTTGCCCTCCCACCCCCTTGGAAGCAGAGCCCGTTTTTGTAATGATATTTTATTTTGTCACACCGTAAAACACGCCAGTACTAATGTGATTAAATATTAACACCGTTTCTGAAATTCCCCGCTCCGAAGACAAAATACTAGTCGGTATTTAACAAAATGATCCATGCTCGGATTGGAGGAACGAATCGTTGTTCAGAACTGTACAGGACGTGTAGCCACGGGGACGTGCCCGGAGTGTCTTATGGGCTTGTGATGTCCTTCGCAGGGGAAGAAACTTGATTGGCAAGTTGTAGGTCTGGAAGTGTCTGAGCCAGAATCGCGTGTGATTTCATGATTTCTTAAACCAGGGGAGCAAGCCTCTCGGAATCCGCCTCCCCTGACTTCCTCCCCGACCCACCCGACAACTTTTATATAATGAGACTCTACATCGGATCCTGAGGTGGCACAAAGTTGGGGTGGGGGAAGGGTGAGATGATCCTGGGGGGGAAGAAACTAGCCTGAGTTTGGACCTGTTCAACAGGGGGGATGTGAACTGAAGAATGCTTTGCAGGATCCACCACCTGTCTTGGTGAGGGGGGGGTGTGTGGCTCTGGAGGGAATTCCAGAAGAGAGAAAGAAAAATCAGGGTAGAATAGAGATCGTGGATATGAAGTTGGAAAAAATGATGCTTTTCAAAACTCTGAGCTAAACGTCTGCACTCATTCCTGCCAGACCCCCTTTCAGTTGGGAGTCCTCCGTCTTCAGACCCAGGGCGGCCTAGAAGGGTCCTTCCCACACACTGACACCGGAGTCATGTCAGGGTCTGCTCTCCGTCCCTGATCTGGCCCTTTTTGGAAGTACGATGTTTTTCCAGAGATGTGGGAGAAAATTTTTGGAATGTCATGCTTCTCTCCCAGCGTTCCAGAAGGAACAGAGTCAGGCAGGCCTGAGAAAGACGAGGCGGGCCGTGAATTTCTTCCGATGTGGGGCAGGGAGGGTAGAGGTCCCAGCCTCCCAGCCCAGAGCTGTTTTTCTGAGTCCTCCCCCCCCCATCCTCCCCACACCAGGCAGAGAATTTTTAAGGCTCACATTCTCAAACTTGCTTGGGAGGAGCCAGGGACACCAGAGTCCCAGCTTCCCGGGAGATCACCCAGCCGCAGGCCTTCCTGTGACTTTTGTGCCTCTGGAAGATGTAACCCAAAACTTCGCAGGTGTTAATCAGGGCTGATGTAAACAGATAGGGGCTCCCTTTGTGCAGCTGACTTGGGGAGCCGCTCCCTGGCTCGCCCTCGGCCATCCCACTACTGTTCCTTGGTGCTTATTCAATATTTCATGGCTGACATAAACCTGTCTTCTTGATCCGCCTCCCGACATAAAACCCCAACCCAGAATACATCTGCGATTCTATATTTCTACTAAATATTAATAAAGGACAACGATGTTTTAAGGGGCTGAAGCTTAGCGGGGTTGAACTTCTCGTGGTTTCTGCTACTGAAATTTTCTGCCTGTTTGGATTTTCAGTATCCACCACTTTCTCCTGGGCCATACGTGCCTGGACATTCTCCTCCCTCGACCGACAGACAACTTTTCGTAGACGGCCAGTCTTTCTCGGGATAGCTTCCTCTCCTATAAATTTCATTTCGATTTCTTGGGAGGGCCCCTCCAGACCGGAAGCAGGAGACTGTTGGAATGTTCTCCTATTTTATTGAGGGATCTAGGAAAGACGCGTGGGTTGGTTAATCTAATTTCGCTCTCTAGCAATGAAATTCTATGATTCCTGATATGATTTTAGTTTGCCTGACAGAGGTATTTAAATTTCCACAAAGAATCTTAATAGGTCCTGAAAATAGGGTTCTTCTTGCCAAGAAGTTACTCGATACCCTCCGCTGATAGAAAATAGACATCTTTAATAAACAGCCCGGGAGGGCCAGGTGAAACTGGAGGAGGCCCGGTCTTCCCACCGTGGCAGGGCAGAGTCGCTGGGATTTCACGGGATCTCCTAAACTCGCTCTGTGCCGCAAAATTGAGCAAACCACTGGTGGCCCCTTTCTCTCCACTTGAGTGACAATGACGTTGGATTGTGTTCCTTGCTCAGGGGAGCGATCTGCGTTACCGAAAGTGTTTAGGAGATAAATGCTCTCAGTCAGGAATACTGTATTTACCTCTGTTTGGTTAATTTTAGAGATTAAAAGGCTGAAGCTTTATATAATAGGATCAAGTGTCTGGGGAACATGTGAGGACAGGCAGGCCTTCCCGGCACATCGCATCGGGAAAACTCCAAATCCCCCCACGGCGAGGGGTCCTCCATTTATTGGGGGACCCCCGTCAT